CATGTGTATATCTTGGTAACTGCTGGACCAATTTCTTCCAAACTTGGCACAGTTTTGGCCTTGGTATAACATACGTAATGTCCGAAAATTTAAAAAATCGGACAATAACCACGCCCACATCCCATATAACGGTAATTTGGAGAAATACGAAATCTTCGATAAATCAGTAAATATTAAAGCTTATTTATTCCAAATTGATGCTTGCAACAATTCTTTACCAAGAAATCGTTTATGATAAAATTTTGGAAAATGGGCGTGGCACCGCCCACTTATGATCATATATATGTATCTCGGTAAGCCTTCTACCAATTTTTACCAAACTCGGTGTGGTTATTGTGCTTGCCACATAGAAGCAAAACTTTGAAAATTATTTGGGCAATTCACAAGGTGTTGTGAAGTTATATTTTCCTAACAAAAGTTGTGTTAAAACACGACGGTTGTGAACACCTGTTACGATTATTTATTATATCTCAGCACTTAACCTCACATAACACCGAATAAACATAGGTTGCAGAGTTGTATCGTCATGTGTTATTTTTCTTCACAAAACAATAACAACATTTTTACAACTGTCATGAAATATCATGACTTCACGACAAACACGACAAATACGACACCTTGTGAATTGCCCAATTGAAATCGGACTAAAATTACGGCCGATTTTCATATAACAGTAAATTTTAGAAATGCTTGAAACTTCAATATTTCGAAATTTAAGGACGCTAATTTAATCAAAATTGATACACCCCGGGTTACCATGTAGTGGTAGCCAATGACATCGCAATATTAATGTAACCATATTTTCTCCATATATTTAGACCATTTTGGTTACTAGTGTTGGTTACAAGGCAGCGTGGTACTGTACTAGTATTTAACCTAGGCCCACTTTTTGCAGGGGTGTGATGGAAACTAACACATTCTCATTTACCTTACTAACACATTTACAAACTTTGCGTTGGTTAAAAAGAGACAACTAAATAATGCCATAAGTCGGAGGAAGACGGAACAAAAATGTTTACATCAGATTTTTCACACTGCCCCATGATTCAATAATACAAGGTTCGATAAACTGACAGTTGTCTCTCTCGCACCGCTCCCTTAGCAGTGGCACCGTGTTGCTTCTTTGCAAATTTACATGGAAACAGTGTAGCTTTGGTGTGAAATAAAAGTACAAGCTTTTGTGCAATATGTTTATTTGTGTATGCATATGAAGCATATTTAACTGATGAAAACCTAAGCATTGGATGTTTACATCAATCTCGTAGTAGTCTTATTTTAATTTGGGTCATTTTGCAGTTTTTATACGGCTAAATAGCATATAAATTACGTAATTCACGTATATATATCAATATTACGTTCAACATTTCGTTTAAAATGCCAGTTTTCCTGCAAATACATTAGAATTTACGAAAGGAATTTCACTACTAATTGCCTACTTTGCGTACTTTTCTACTACCATTTTCGAAACAAGGGATTGCATTCTTGCCCTTTCTCTGTCCTTCGTAAATGCAACCTTTTGTAAGGGAGTGTCAAACCGCAGCTGTCAATAATTATCTAACCTTGTATTATTGAATCATGATTCTGCCCTTTAGAATTTGATAGAAACTTTTAGGTAGCCAGTGACAGCGTAGGTAGCGATATCTCTATCAGTCTTGCCACTCAAATGCTAGTCACTGTTCTTGCAGGGTCCTTATCCCATTCATTACGTCATATAACACGTTATTAATCGCATAATAATATTTGATTGAAAAGAGACAACTTCATATAGTATAATATACTAGCGAATTCCATGTGAAAGAAAGAGAAAACTACTCATACTTGAAACGACTATGCGTTAGTTTTTTTTTATGCCGAGTTTTTGAATTTCTCACACAAACTTTTTGTAGTACTAGGCGTATATAACGCATTAGTTAACAGATAGGGTTCTTACTGGGTTTGTATGTACATACATATACATATACAAACAAAACTTGACGCGTTAGAAAATAAACAAATCTGCACGCGGTGTATGAAATCAAAACTGAAACAAAACACACTTAACTATTTCACTTAACTTTTGTAATTTTACTCACAAATACTTATATAACTGAAGTATATATCAAAAGCAAAAGTGCTCACCGTTGAAAAATGTGCCCCAAACCTGCCGAATCCCGACTTTACTTCGTATAATTTGCAAATAGGTGAAAAATGTGATCGTAGGCGAATCACTTCAACAAATGAAGCTTGAGCCGTAGGCCGCCGATTGATCGCTTTATTGGAGGCGTTGGATATTTGAGTTCTCGTGCTGAGCGTACAGATGGCACGAGGGATGATGTTATGAACTTGCATTTTCGCCTAAAATTCCACTTGAGGTAAAAATTAAATTTTATTCACATCAACATCCGTGTCTCTTGCGGTCACTCATCTTCTATATACTGACAAAATAAAAATTAGAAATTATTCATTATTAGCCGAGGGCATATGCCTTACTAAGAGATCGCTGATAACCTTTCGACATTTGGTGATAATAACATCTATTGGTGCTGATAAAGGTCTACCAAAAACACAAATATGATAAATATCATCACCTACATAGTACATATATATTACCTACATATGTACATGATATGTATGTAGGTATGTAAGGATATTATTTTTAACAATTTAACTAAATTAATACGTTAATATCGAACGAGCATTAGCTGCCAGGGCCATCAGCTCTATAAAGTTATGGTAACACAGTATGAGTCATACTTATGACTAGTATGTTGTTGAGTAAGCTGAATTTATTTTGTATGATATGACAGATTTTGTTATGAATTGTCAATTATGTTTTGACAGTGCTTGGGTATTGCTTTGTACAGTTTTTTAGTTAACGTGATTCTTTAGGTAGAACCGAAGAAGAGTTCAATGAGAGATTTTTGTAATCAGTTGCTGCAATATTTTTCAGATAAAAAGGGTTCATATTAAAAAATTCTGATTCCCACATCACTGACAAAATTCATCGTATGACTATTGTTACAATTTCTGCGCCTGAAACACAATAGGGGTATTCTCTGAGTCTTGCAAAGCCCTTGCATGGTGCACAGATTGCACGGATTGCACGGTTAAAACCGGTTTTCGTATGGGACAGCTTTGCAAACCGTGCAATCCGTGCACCATGCAAGGGCTTTGCAAGACTCAGAGAATACCCCTAATATACACATTGTGGTAGTTCACACTTGCCTTGTTATCTGGTTATATTTTTTATTCAGTGTACAACATTAACACATAAGTGGTATTCATCTAAACCGATAACTTTATCAAGCAGATAATCTTATAAGTTTATGCACTCTGTTACATGAACGACCCACACTCTCTTTTCGTTTACACATGCGACAATAGTCGTGTTTTCTTTGGTTATAAAGCGCAGTGTCACTAACTTTATACTAAATTGGAAAAAATTATATTTACGAGATATCTCTTTAAATAAATGTACATATAACAAGGCTATTTATTTGAAACAAGTTATAAGAAACAATGGCAGAATGTCTGGTTGTGTATGAATTCATTTATCACGGCTACCAAACGTTGCGAATTATCAGTGAAACAAAACAAACAATAATTGACCAGATCTCTATCAGGATCATATCGTTGTTGAATTTGCGTGCAAAATTTGTATGCGGATCCCGATTATTGCCTAAGAAAACATAGCTAGAGTAGCGACAGAGTTTCATTGTCTTCAGTTTATCAAGTTTATTCAATGAAATCGCTGGATAAATTTATCAGAAATGTATAAACGAGTTTCCATACAAATTTTGACAGTTCATTTATAAGGTTTACACAATTATAAGTTTATACGGTTTACAATGCATTTATAAGGTTTGATGAATACCCTTATAGAATAACAATATTTATCCAGATAACCTGATAACAAGGCAAGCGTGAACAACCACATTGTTTCGCCGTTGTCGCGTACTCAGTAGTTCATAACAGGTTCATTCCTTATCTTTTTGGACTAAAATCTGAAAAGTGTCAAAATGCCAGAGCGTAAGCAAAATGCGCTCTTTAAAAGAGAATAACAGGAAAAGTAAAGGAACGCAAAAAACCAAATTTTTATCCAAAGAATGGTAACAACAAAACTAACGTCAAATAAGAACAGAAATGTATGTACAAAACACATTCACACAAGCACAAGCACAATATACACTTACTATATCAATTATTTTTTGCCTCCTTCCAATTTCAATTCATTTCTTTTACTTTTTAGATTATTCTCACTTTTAGCGTATTCTTTAATTTCCGTTAATTTAAATTCAGTTGAGTTTGACACTTTTCAGGATTTTGCCAGAAAAAATTCTTGACTAAATCTGACTACTTCGGACTGATGAGAGTCACTCTCACTGACTGTTGCTCTCTCATGTTTGCTGTCATTTCCGAGTTAAGGAACGCTTTTTGGACTACATCTGACTACTTCGGACTTTTTCTGACTATTTCTGGGAGATAAGGAACGCTCCTAATAATAACAATGACAACTGTGACCATTACAATGCTTAAAATAAATTTGCGGCAATAGTCAGCCGTTGGGAATAGGGCTGTTAAATTGAATATACTTAGCAACCGTGCACAACAGCTGGCTGTGAATTATTTGCAGTAGTGATGGGCGAAATAGCGATTTTTCAGTATCAACAAAGAACTTAGATAACGAGAAGGGACAACTCGATATAATTGTGGCGAAAGTTGCGGTTTTTAATTCAGTGATTTTTTATGGTTATTGCGATCGCTAGTTGTTCTAATAACACAGAAATGTGTAATATTTCTAATGAATCAGTGTTGGTGCATGTAGGGATAATTCCCTACCCGTAGGGATTTCAGTCGAAAAAATTTGTGTAGGGAAGAGGGAAAAGTTGCATTTATTCGCTCAAAAATTGTCATATTTCACTTCGTATTTTATTAATATTTGCAGCAATCTTTACTCGTTGATACAAATTTTGAAATAAAAACTGAAACGCAAATAACGGGATCAAGCAAATCAAACTGCATACTTGAAAATGTCAATATCAAACAACCGTGGAATGATAATGAAAAAAAGCAATATATATACATACGAGTATATTAAGAATGAATAATTAAAAATTGTAAAATCGTCATTTCTACCATCACAGAGAAAAATCACCATTCGCAACTTCTGTTGACTAGCTATTGCCATATCGTCGCCTGGGTAAACGATTGTCGTAAGCGTCATACGTACGTGCGAAACATACGACAATCTTTTACCTAGGTGACGATATGTGATTTTCTTTACCTACGAAATATCTTGCGAGTAGAAAAATCACCCATTACTGATATTGTGGCCTAGCAGTAGCAGTCACTATAAACGATTTTTAAATTACAGTGATAAAATCACCGGTAGAGAAATATCGCTCATCACTAATTCCCTGTGATCGTCATTCGTTCAAAGTACCGAACTAAATAGTCGATTACTTTTAGTTATTTATTAAAGTTTATGGCAAGGAGAACAAAATAAAATATTTTCAACAAATTTATAAATGGAGGGCAGAAGATATAATTTGGTAAAAAACAAACTATTCATGAATATAAACATGTTGTATATAAACAAGGTATCTACCTCCTCAGATTTCACGATACTTTGAAAACGCAGAGGTGCTCATGACCGGGGCTGCGGATATAGAGGCTTTTTTGAACAATATCCCTTCCAGTTCAAGTTCCGAAACGTCATCAAGCTCTGAGGAGTCCGAAGACGAAAAAAGAAAGGCTTTTGAAGATTTTTGTGAAGTTATTGACGGCTATAGCGAAGAGGAGTTTGAATCTCACATGAGATTACGACGTTCAACTGCTGAACTTTTAATCGGTATGGCAGAAAGATGATTTTCATTATCTTATATACTACTACTATTAGTTATGTTTTTACAGAGAGATATGCATCTAGTATTTTACCTAAAACACACTCTGGAGGTAGAGAAAGTCTGCCACCGAAAAAAAGAGTCTTCATATACATCTGGTATTTGAGCAATGCGATAACATTTCGAAAACTTGCTGACTTGTTTCGAGTATCAATATCGACAGTTTGGTCTGCGGTGAACAGTGTCTCTGCATGGATTATCTCAGTCGGTCACGAATATATAAAATGGCCGGAAGGTACTATGGCAAAGGAAATCCAAAAGAAATTTCAGGCGAAAAATGGTATTCCGGGTGTTATTGGGGTTATCGACTGCACGCATATTCGTATAAAAACTCCAAGGGTGAATAAGGAAAATTACTTAAACCGGAAAAATCAATACAGCTTAGTGCTTCAAGCAGTAGTGGATGCAGACAAAAGATTTATCGACATAACTTGTGGCGAACCTGGATCACTGAATGACATCAGAGTTCTACGAAGATCTAATCTTTATGCTACAGCGCAATCAGATTTACAAAATTTATTTCCGAACAACTCATTTATTTTGGGTGACTTGGCTTATCCCTCAACAAGCTGGTTGGTGTCGCCCTTCAAAGAGGACGGTAACTTGACTGAATCGCAAAGACATTTCAACGAAATACACACATCTACTTGTGGGGTTGCGAAAAATGCCTTTGGCTTATTAAAGACTAGATTCAGGAGACTGTTACATTTTACCGAACAAACAAATTTAAACTTTGTTGTCAACATAATTGTAAGTGCTTGTATTCTTCATAATGTGTGTATCGCATCTAATGATTCATGTATAGAAGTTGCAAAAGATGAAGGTTTAGAACCCGGTACGCAAGACGGACCTCTGGAAAGCAATTTCCCCACACATGGTATTCGACGTGATTTACTTTTTGAATACTTACTACAGCATAACAAAATATAAGGAAAAATATAACAAGTAACTTTTCTTCTGCATCAAAAACTAAATTTGGAGATAAAGGGACTTCGCACCTTTTCACCTTTAGATAGCGAAGTAAATTTTAAGCAAAAAACAAAACCGACTTCAATTCTCATATAAAAATTTAAGAGTACCGGTAATTACTCAATGAGCCAATAATCTGATCTAAACCAAATTCTAATAGGTCCACCTCTGAGGTACAACTTTTCCTTTAAAGAAAGAACTATTGAAATCGGTTTACCTGGTCCAAAGTTATGCGATAACATACGATCTATTGATAACCTCCTCCTTTTTTAAATTCGGTTAAAAAGATTCACGACAATGAAACTAAAAACACAAATTCATTTTATTTATTAAATTAAACATCCTAACTAATTTGAAGATTCCTTTTTTAAGGATTCCTTCAGAAGTTCCAGTTTTTTTAATTCAATATCTCTTAAAGTTTCGACAATTGAATTGTGGAATCTTCTTTTCTCATCCAGTTTTTTTTCTGCAATTCTCGTTTTTAATTTTAATTTTTCAGTATAATAACTATCCCGTCCAGTTTTCTTGAGCGCATATGTTTTAGGAATACCCAAACTAATAGTGTTATTTCCTTTATTAATATTATTACTGGAAACTGGCGCAGTAACAGGTGCACTGTTGCCAAAAATCTCCTCCAAGTCTTCCATGTAAGGAACTATGCAAAGGCCAGTACCTGGCTTAACAGTGTTGTCCTTTGCGCCTCTATATGAAGCGTACAATGTGCGCATTTTATTTTCTAACCCCAGTACAGTTGTGGTCGGATCCTAGATAAATTTCTTTAGTATTGATAGAATAAACAAGAAGTAACTTAAACTTACGGTGAAACCTTGCGCTATCATGTCTTCCAAAACATTTGCATATGCAAGCCGCTTTTTCCTTCGATGGATAAACTCCTTTCTGCGCGCTGAGTAGCATTTCAGCAACAACTTGGTTTCATCAAACGTCCATGCCTTGCGCCTCCTTAAATGTTTTGCATTAGATTCAAATTTAAAAAAATATTTGAAATCAAAAATTACTTACGATTTATCTTCAGTTGCCATTTTCTGTACGAATGTCTGTTTAGTTTCGAATTGATAATTATTTAATGCTCTATATTTAAATGGTTTACGAGCTAGACAGCATAGTCTGTGCACTAACCAACATACAGCGAAAACACCAGCATCTGAGTCGAGTTATATACCTTTAGCTCGAAAGTCAAAGGATATAAAGCTAAAATATTTATGTCTGTTTTTTTGTCTATTTTTACAGTTATTAAATATATTTCACTTTGTTTATTATTCTTGAGCGCACCAAAATTCTTCACAGTTTTATTACTAGTCGACAGTGATTTAAGCGAGTTAATAGTTTATTCACTAGTTGTTAGCTGTGTAACGAATCGAAAGCAACATAGAGAGCATGCTGCCAGATGTTACCAGCTTTTTATCATTTTCGAATTATTGTGTAAAAAGCATGGAAAACAAAACCGGAAGAAACGCATAACTTCATACTAGGTGGTTTTCAGTATTTTATAGTCAAATGCTCATTTTCTGACGGTACTTAGCAAATTGCTTTTGAGGACACCCTTTTATTTTCGTAATTTTAATGCTCCTGGATTTGAGCAAAAACTACCATTACCTGTTTTTAAAACTTTCAAGTTTTTGCGTAAGCGCATTTTTTTCGAAATATATATTTTTTTAATTTTGAAAAGAATTGTTAACTACTTTCCTGCTAATTTAGTACTAAAAATCTTATCGTACAAACTACTAAATAATATCGATTTGTTACTCGTTTATGTCAATGTTATCACATCGCTATTCGGAATATCATCAATTTGGCTTTGTTTCGAAAAAACGCGCCGTGATATAAAATGGATATTTTAGATTCGCAACAAGAAAACGATGGAGTAGAATTAATAATTGAGCCGGGATATACATGGAACGAATTACGTGAAAACGTCGCTAATTCCAGTCTTAAAAAGAAATGCGACTTCCTTTTACAAGTTGGCCTCAAACCCGAAGATGTAAGGAATCATTTCTCTTAAGAAAAAAGTTAAATTTTCTCATCTTAGGTGTATATAAAGATACTGGATTTGTTGAATTCTGAACTGAATTTGGATGAAATAACTAACCTCTTCGTAATTGTGGGAACACTTTATTTTATTGAAGCTACGCCTGAGACCATGGAATGGCGTACTCATCTTTTACAGAAAACGTTTAACTATAGCGACACACTAAGCCCCATGCATGTAATAATATAGGGAGTGTCTACTTACACGCGCCACGGTAAAAATTACGCAGAAAGAAGTTCTGTCTCACTTCTCCGGCAACACAGAAAGGAGAATCGTAAGTAGTAGGGGTTATAATCCCTAAGAGCGGCCGGAGGCCACCCTCGCATAAAGAAGTTCTGCCCACTTCTCCGGCAACACATAATCCACTTAATTTTACCGTGGATCTACGGTAAACGTTACCGTGGCGCGTGTGCGTAGACACTGTCAATAATATATTATTCCATATTTTATAGTATAATATGTGTATGTGGCTGTAATTTTGTATTTAGCTCCATTTAGCAACTAAACGACTTTGGACAAACTTAAAAAGGAAAGACACCGATGTCTTCAATATACTGGAGCTCTGCAATCAATTGGTAATCATAAGTGAAACAGCTAGGGCTATCTCCATATGCTTAATGTGGACCATTTTATCTGAAATAACGGAGACACCCAGTGAAATGTATTGTTTTCGTCAGGTAGGATTTTTTATGAAATAAGTGGCTAACTAACAAAACATTAATGCATTTTTTTCTAAACTCAGTTCTCGAAATTGCTGGAAATGCTGAACAATATTGATAGCGAAACCTTGCAAGATGAAGAAAATACTAAAATAGTTTACATTTTGGTTCGTGTATTAAGCTATCTTATAAATGTTACACTTTGTGATGCTCAAAATGAGGATATTATTAAAGCCGGATATCGTATGTACTTCAAATATACCTCTCCATTTTTAAAAAAGCTCCACGAATGGTGCGAAAATTTCAAAAAAACTATAGACTCATGCCCAAAACCAAAGCAAATTCAAGCAGATTGGGATCTCCGAATGATGGTAATGTTAACAGATATATTTAAAGATACATTGAATGAAACTTAATTTTATGTTGCAGATTACTGAACACATTAGCTTTAACATTATTAATGTACTCCAAGACAGAATAGACCATATGAGTGCACCGGATTATTCTTAGTGGAAATACCACAGCTAAGAAGTACACAAATTAAATAAAGTGAGTAAATTTTGTCAAAATTACACTTGTTAGTCCGTTTCCTTTAAAATTACTAAAAATCAAATATACATACTATATGCTTTTAATATTGAAATCAGTAAGGGTATTTACTCGTTCTTCGATTCAAAAGTTCACCACCAAAAGAGCGTTTGCTCAAGAAGATACAACCGGTATTTTTCGACCAAAAATTAGCTTTTCAGATAGTAAATTCTCACAGCAAATGACAGCTACTCAGCTGGGCATTTTCGGATAAACAGCTGATTTCGAAAAAGTCGATAAAATTTAGAGATGAGACGAACTTAAAGGTTGAGTTCCATACAAAGTTTTCAAGCGGTGTGGCTTTCGATGCTCGCCCAAAGGTTTATTGAATAGGTAGCACCAGGCGAATTTATACAAGGTGGTGTTGGGGCGAATTAAATTTTCGCCGCGGTACTACTGAATGTCAAAATGATGTGTTTGTTGTAAACAAGGCGAATTCATTTTACAACAAACATCATTTTGACATTAAGACGTACCTCGTCGAAAATCTAAATTCGCCATCAACACCACCTTGTATAAATACGCCTTGAGGTAGCAGCACCGGTAGCAAGACGAATTTATACAAGGTGGTATTGATGGCGAATTAAATTTTCGCCGCGGTACTACTAAATGTCAAAATGATGTATTTGTTGTAGACAAGGCGAATTCATTTTACAACAAACACATCATTTTGACATTAAGACGTACCTCGGCGAAAATCTAAATTCGCCATCAACACCACCTTGTATAAATTCGCCTTGATCGGTAGCCATACATGAATTCGCCGCCTTGTTCTCCATTGCTAACGAGTATTAAGCGCGGCGAAAATCTAAATTCGCTAGTAAAACCACCCTGTATAAAATCGCCTTGGTATATTACCTACCAGTAGAGAAAAAATCGGTAGAAAGGAGTTACAGAAACGAGCTACAGGGTTTTTTAATTTCATTCGATTCCATTTTATTTTTATTTTTTGACATTTTATT